GTAACGTTGTTAATTATCTAATAAAAAGCCCCCCGGCCATAGAGGTCACCTTAAACAACAAAAAAAAAAAAAAACAACAAAAAACAAACAAACAATAATAAATGAAGCAGACAAACAACAAATATACAAACACCCAATGCCAGCACTAGAAAAATATAAAAATTTTTTTAACCAAAGTGATATAATAAACAAAAGACAACTACTTTAAAAAAAGATAGCAAAATAGTGAACTATCTAGACACAGATGATTTTCACTTAATAGCAATTATCCAACAACATATTGCGCATTTATGACTGAGCATAGTATAAGAAAGCAAGAGAGCTTGAGTTATCTGAAGAAGAAAAGTTTTTAATTGATAAAAACACAAATTTTCACAAGACACAGGATATTAGCAATATACCTAAAGCAGAAACACCTACTTTAGAGTTAAATATAGAACAACAATTTGTAAAGGTTGAACCAACTTCTATAGAAGTTACTTTAACATATATATGTAATCAAATTTATAAAGGCAAGAGTACAAATAATACCAGTTTAACTCCTATAGAAATCTCATATACACAGATAGACAAAATTGCAAGTGAAGATAGTATGATGATAGAAGTTGAAAATATAAACTTCTCACGAAAAAGAAACTTCAGAAAAAATAAAATTACTAGTGATATAGAAGAAAACAAGCAGGCTATAATTAGAACAACTTTACTGGATAACAAATGTGGAGTTCTAGATTATGGTCTGGAGAAACAAGTTACTGAGAAAACAAACAAAGATCCTAAAACTAAAAGAAATAATACTACAAAAAAACCCAAATATTATAAAAATATTTACAATTCAATATGGGCTTTTAAAGGAAATTTCAGATTGCAAAAATCTATATCACACTACTTTTTCACAGTATAAGATCTTCCAAAAGAGATGAGAGCAGGAGAAATTAAAAAGTTTTTTAGCTACTTTGGCACAGTATCTATTCTGGCTTGGCAACAAAACACAAAAACCAAGATGGCTTATATAAAGATCACAACAAATCTAGAGAATAAAGAAAACTTATTAAAAAATAGCTGGTCACTGCAATTAGATTAGGGCAAAACCTACAGACAACTCCAGGAAGGTTTAATAATACTATACTTGAAAACAAAAATAAATACAAGTGCACTATTTACAATATATCTAGAATAGCACTAGACAGCTTACTCTTATGTCAACTAAAGAAGTACAATGTGCAAGCAGTATATATACTGAACAACCACAATGGTAACCAAAGTAGAAGAGCATATATTTATTTTAGTTCAGAAAAAGACCTTGTCTAAGCACAGAAAACAAGTTTTTATTACTATAATACCAAGCTTGAATGGCAGTTAAGCCCAAGTAACTCTGAAAATAAAGACTCTAGTAATGAGCAGCTATACTATAAAAGAGATGTTTGGCACAATAACAAGGAAAAAAGACAGCTAGAAGAAGCAGAAATGTACAAAGAACGAGGCTTGAACAAAAAACTAAAATATTTAAGCACTACTAGAAAAATAACTAAGCAATTAAAAAAAAACAAGAAAAACAATCCTAGTACAAGTATAAGTCTGAAGCCTGTAGCACAGATACAAGAAAAAGTTTTTTCTAAATATACAAATGAGAAAGTAGAAAAGTGCAACTCATATAGTGTGTTTAAAACAAATATTGCCAACCAAAGAATCCTATCAAGATTTCATTATCAATAATACAAATTTTGCATTATAGCTACTAAAATACAACATTGGCAAATTTAGAAAAAAGTTAAAGAAAAGGCTAAACCACACTTGAACAATATTATACAGCAAGAAGTATTGGCTAAGATTCTTAAAAAGCTATCAAAAATTAAAAAAGATTACAAATCAATCTATCATTAGGGGCAGCAGGCTCTAAGTGCTCCTGAAAGTTGCTATAGGCATTATCATAGATAAAAACAGGTCTAGCCTCCTGTATAAGAAAACTCAAAAATATCAAGAAAGACTAGAAAGAACAACTGTGGAACAAATCAAAGAAGATTGTTACTTATTTTGCAAAATAGCATGTCATAATATTAATAGACATAAAGGCAACTCACAAAAGTTTAATTTATTAATAGATTAGATTACAGAGAATATATATGATATAGTAGGTATAGTTAAGACCAATATTTAAGAAAAAAAAAGCTACTTTCTTAATATTCTATTTAAAAAATACTATGCAGTCTGGGCAAGCACAAGTTAAGAAAAAAAAAAAAAGCTCAGA